AGATTTCTCGAGACCCATATTTTCTTCCTATAACCTCCAATATTTCCCCTATTAGAAGTCACATTGGATGGTCGCAGCGACTTAAGCAAACAAATAAGGGAGGAGCGACAGTGAAGCTGACCTCTTCCGTAAAAATAAGGATGTTCGTGCCATCCCGCCTGTTGCCAAGGTTATGGTAAAGTGATTACATCCTTTTATCAAAAGCTTTGCCTTGGGCCAGGTTGCCAGTTGAGTTTCTTTGTATGAGGCCATGGCAACCAGGTTCATTGTAAAGAAAAATCAAACTTTTTTTTTACCAAATAGATCAGGCCTCTTCCTAGTTTGCTCAATTATTTCCCACATAGCGTCAGAGTGATTGAGCTTTCGCAAGCAAAGAAGGTAATAAATGATGAATTTTGAGCTCGAAGTAATTACTTTTTAGCCCGATTATTTGTAGCCAAATTACACGCCAGAAGAGTGACATTGTGAAATGGCAAAAATACAAAGTCCTCCTTGCTCATTGGTGTGTAGAACCGGTCACATTTGCTGAGACAGGCAGGATCCGCGGTTGGGAGGCCGATAATTGGTGGAAGGTTTCATGTCCTGTTTCCCCCTCGGTATCCACTTCTCCTGTCAGACGGCCGAGTTCGAGCTGGCACGACGCTAATCTGTCTTGGCTCTTTCATCAGATAATTAACAGCTCGACCTCAGACTAATGACCGACATGAGACTTAATTGGTGAGCCTTACATACGTGACGCATTTAGTTTTGCTGCCAATTAAATTTTTTGTGATTTATGAGATTGGATATTCACAGTAGACCTCAATTAATCTACCCTGCCGGTTTACTCAACTCACCCACCATAAGGCCGTTCATCAGCTTACTTGCACTGACTACTCACTACAGATACAGCTCCTGCCTCAGATTTATATTTCCACCAATTTGTCCCCTCAATCTCAGGAATAATTGAGATTTGCCTGATGTTCGCTTTTGCCAATATGAGAGCTGGAGACTCGATTAGACAGGCAGAGATTCATATATGCAAAGAGATACTGCATCTTGAAAAGTGCCTCAGCAAATTCATGCTCTTCTGCCTTCTACTTCGTTTGAAGAGGCGACTCGAATTGACTCCCAGATGCTCCTACCCCACCCCACCCCCTAACCCACCCCCCTAAAGCCAAGGTGATGCAGGTGTGATTGGAAATTTGTGTGAATCAGCCTGGATCCATCATTGTTAATCGTTCTTCTGTCTCAGTCTGGCAGACATTGTCACAACGTGAGAAAATGCTGTACGAAAATTCGCCCAACCCTAAGAGGGTATGTTACATGATGGATGGTTTGGAATTGTGAAACAGTGTGATCTGGGCCTACTTAAGCAAAGCCTTGACATATTTCTTTGTGGGAGTATAGATGAGGCAGACCTGCATTTGCTCTTAGCATCGACAACATTATTTATAGATAGAAAGATTAATTGGGTTTCAAACAATCTCCTGAGAGAACATTTTTGGGGCGACTCTCATTTATTATGAAAGTTTATGAAGAAAAGATTCATAGGCCGATCTCACCAGGAGAGGACGAGATCAGCCGTCCACCAAAGGACTAATTCTACGTCTTCCAGCCTCGACTATGCTTCAGAGTTTACTAACACACGAAAAAACTTAAATAATGCCCTTAAGAATGGCTTCTGAGTAGGATCATTGAATCTTGATGACCCTAGACTGACGGTTTAAGACGGGATTCAGCCGTCCTCTCCTGACTAGATCGACCTACGAATCTCTTCTTCATGCACTTTCATACTGAATGAAATTCTCCCCAACAATACATTACTTATATTTCGTTTTAGTTGCTCTCTAAACTATCAGGCGAACTTGAATAAGAAGTATATTCGTCCTAGATTGCATACAGTGATGAATTGAATATCCATTCATTAGCCCAGAATTCAAGTCTACCGAAACTGGGTTTTTATATTCGTATGAAAGTATGGTTTCGAGACTGGGTTTTTAGTCCGGATAGACTTTCTCAGCACTGTCAACTGGAGCCGAGCACGGCACATGTGGATCTGTTCCGGCTGGAAACGAGCCCGTAAATAGTTGCAGATTTAAAACCTGTTTCGCCTTCGCTTCAATGCTTATTATACACCTTGTGTGCAATAGAACGAGGCAGTCGAGAAGGAAGTAAATCATTGCCAAAGCTTAAATCAGAAATTCGTTGAATTTAATGGAAAACACAGGCAGATTCGGCACTATTCAACTAATGAAACTAGTCCAAACTAACACACCTCTTAAACACTAAGACTCCCGATAGGTAAGAAATAAAAAAATTTTCATATAGTTTAATGTACGAAACACACGAAGCCAGAAGTCACTCGTGGCCAGAGTGGAAGCAGACAGACGCCAAAGTTAGTCCAAGTTGTGGAACAGAATTGCTGTCGAAGAAGGAATTTGTAGTTTATTGGGTTTGATTACAAAAAAAGGACAAAGCTAACAATTCAGCTTAAGGTCTAGATCAAGCGTAATGGGCTCACTTTTAGAAGAGACAAAGTAAAACCGTTCTAAACGCCATAATCAAAGGTCTAAACCACAAAAGGAATAAGGTTTACATCTTCCAGCCTCGATCAGGCTGCATAATTTACTATCACAGTTCGATTCAAGGGCAGAATTTGCCACGAAAAAAACTTCTATAATGCCCTCACGAATGGCTTCGGAGTAGAATTATTGAATCTGTATGGCCCTAAACTGACGGTTTATGACTAGTGGTTTCCTAACCTAACCGACATGCATATAGGCCCACATGTTATCATCTCATTGGGAGTCAATTGCAGGCCTATGGATGGCTCGATCATACTCTCCTCTGAGCGACTAAACTTTGATCTTTCGGAACTGACGTTAGGCTCTTTCGTAATCACTGTTGCTTACTCTGATTTATTTTTTTCGAATTAAGTATTGTTTTTCGTGACTATTAGTAAATCAGTTTTAAGATGTATTCACCCAATTTCGTTTAAGGTGATGAGGGACTGGTAGAAATAGAATTTTCCCACAAATGA